AAGGAATGAAAGCAGGTTTTCCTTAATTGATTTAAAAATGCAAACGGCAGAGACTTTTTTCAATGTCTTGTCGTGAATACTCAGAAGCCATGTTCATGTATCACATTCAGAAGCCAGTGAAGAGCTGTGTGGCACTACAATAAAGTAGAACAAAGAGTTTCTTGGGGGTTGGTTGTTTAATAAACATTGTCCCTTAATATTTCTAAAGAATACTCGTAAAAGCTTTAGCAACAAGCAGGCTACACAGTCACTATGTCAATGGGCAACTGGAATGCCGCCAAGTAAAAAGTTTTGTTAATACAACTTAAGAAACATAGTAAAGCTAAGGTGCTTTCTTAAGTCATCCAATGCATAGCCCCTACTGAAAAGGATTAGCCAAATTATAAAGTATTACATTGAGAAAAATACAGTAGAGTAATAATTCAAAGTCTCTCTATCTAAAATCACAGACAGCTAAGATCTCTCTAAAACTTATGCCCAAAATTTACAAATATCAAAAATTTCAAAAGTGATTCTTCACAACTGGAAGAAGGAAGTGGCTGAGACAAGAAATTTAAAAAAATAGGTAACAGAGGGGAAAAGAAGGAAGATGAAGCAAAATTTCCTACAAACAAAGAGAGCTCAGAACTAATAAAATGAGTACACTGAATGCATAAGGAAGTATTACATGGAGAGAATCAAAGACCAAGTTTTTATACCACTTAACTGCAAAATAGTAAGTTAATGCAAAATTAGTAGTGAAGGCTTAATGCCAAAAAGATATAACAAGAGCTAGCTAGAGATTTCTGTAGTACATGATAATACACATTCATTCCTTTTTGCAATCTAGAATTCTCTAAGGAAGGAAGTTTTCTTTTTAAAAAAGAGAAAAAAAGTAAGCCAGTAGTTGTTTTAACAGAAGTCAGGAAGAAGCCACAACAATCTGAATAAATTAACTGCAAGAACAACTATCAAGAAAGTAGAAAATTTCTAACAATTCTTGATAGTTCTGTAGAGAAAGCTTTTTCATCCATTCACTGGGGAGGAGAAAAAAAAAAAAAGAGGGCTGTTTTTGGATATTCTTTGCAAGTATAGCAGTAGGCAGCCAGCATTGTCAAATCCTGTAGTAAGAGGCAACAGATCTCTGATATTAGCTTTTGATACTGAATCTAAATTAGATAGCAAGGTGGAACAACATTTTTTCATTGAAAATCCACTGTGAACTTTTTTTTCTTCCTGGACAACTTTAATGCTGAAATCATAGAATCATAGAATCATTAAGGTTGGAAGAGACCTCCAAGATCATCGAGTCCAACCGTCAACCCAACACCACCATGCCCACTAAACCATGTCCCCAGGTGCCTCATCTACACGTCTTTTAAATACTTCCAGGGATGGGGACTCAACCACTTCCCTGGGCAGCCTCTTCCAATGTTCAACCACTCTTTCAGTAAAGAAATTTTTCCTCATGTCCAATCTAAACCTCCCCTGTCACAACTTGAGGCCATTTCCTCTCGTCCTTTCGCCAGTTACTTGGGAGAAGAGACCAACACCCACCTCGCTACAGCCTCCTTTCAGGTAGTTGTAGAGAGCGATGAGGTCTCCCCTCAGCCTCCTTTTCTCCAGGCTAAACAACCCCAGCTCCCTCAGCCGCTCCTCATAAGACTTGTTCTCCAGACCCCTCACCAGCCTTGTTGCCCTTCTCTGGACACGTTCCAACATCTCAACATCCTTCTTGTAGTGAGGGGCCCAAAACTGAACACAGTAT